CTGAGGTATTTCTGGGCTGTTGAATGAGAGGAAAAGCGGTTGGGGTGTTGCTGGAACCAGAAGGAAAATGCAAAAAGTCTTTATCCCCAAAACCTGGTAAAACATTTCAAAAGAACAAAGACTACTGCCAGAATCCTTTCTGTAAGCAGGTTAATGACATATTCAAATTGTGCCCACAAAAACTTACAAGAAGGTGAACTGAAAGACAACAAATATAGAAGGCTGGTAGATTTATCTGGAAAAGCTACTGTTGACCAGAAATTGGGGTTACCAGGTGTTAATTTGCCAGCTATGTCACTTAATGCAGGAGAAATAAGAAGAGACAGATTGTTGCTCACATCTTTCAGTTCTTACAAAAAAAAAAAAAATTCTAATGCAAAATGATGACAATGGGATACAGTGGAAGTGGGATAAAAGTGGCTGGTGGGAGTGGGATAAAATGGTATCGATAGCATCCCATATCATGTGCCAGTGATACTCTCCCAAATAATATTGATAGCTGTACTGATGGGGCGTACAAGAACTTATGCCCCTCTGTGTGGTTTCCATATGTTATTAGAAAAGCTGCTGTCAAAACTGAAATATTTATGTAGGAAGTAGGCCTCCTTACCTTGATTGTGATATGTAAATAATCTTTTTGGGGAGGGGTGGGGTGCAGAGAACAGTGTTCAAAAGGGTTTTAAGAACAAAAGCAAATGAATTTGTCCCATGAATTAAAACGGTATAGTCCCATAGAGTTGTTAGCAGACTTAATCTGTTAAACCCCAGGGGTTGTTCTCATTGTGAAAGGAGACTGCTCACCTTTGCTGTCCCTGGGTGCTCTTCTTCCCCAGGCAGCAACTTCATCTCTGTTCTTGTCATGCTGTAGTTAGAAATGCCTAACCTTTTACAGCTGGATAAAGAGTAAAACTGGACTGTTCCAGTAATATGTGTATACAAGTATTGCAAATAGGGTTATGACTCAGCCTTTCCCCAGAGGCTTAGCGATGGAGCGAAGGCGGAGGGGGTAGCAAAACAGAGCCACAGACCGAAAGTGCTTAGAATTTCCCATCCTTAAATCAGGCGTCCTTGTAATTAAACAGAGTTGGAAGATGAATCAGTGTACAAAAATGCAGAGCTGCTCGTGATTATTGGAGGTACAGAGGGAATGGCAGGAATAGTACGGGGACTGCGGTAATCTTTTTGGAGACGTACCAGGCTCGTCATTAACAGACAGAGATCCAGTGCCAGAGACATCAAGCTTTCTAGAACAGCAGAGATGCCAAAACCTCTGTTTGGGTTAGAGGATACTGAAGGGAGAGCCTTAGGGGTAATGGATCCTTGCCCAGTGAGCGTAACCCCTGTCCTCACTGTAACCTTGATGCTGGAGAGAGACTTTTTGATTTCTGAAATCCCTTAAATATCACACGAGCTTTTGGGGGTTTGAACTTTGCTCACAGTAGAGAGTGGATTTTGCTAATGCTCTTGGAGAAGGAATAGTATTTATCTCCTTGTTCAGTGTTAGAGGCAGCAGACATACTTAATGGAAGACATAAAAGGCAGGAAACAAATGTGAATGTGTGATAATGTCTGACCTCATTCTGTAGCTCATGTGAGGCTGGACCCAGTCAACTGCTGATCAGCTGCAAGCTGGGAGAGAGTTACTGGAGGCTGAAAGATTCTTCTAGGAATCAATATGCTAAATATATCAAAGAAGATATATTACAGACAGATCTGTTGATTGCTTCTGTGTTGATGTGGTTTGCTGCGAGGTGGCCCACTGTGTCTTAAAGTTTTGTTCCCAATTCGGTCATCTGTTGCCTGTGTCGTTCAGTTGGAGGTGATGCGGTATTGGTTTTTCTGACGTGGGTACACAAACTGGAGTGAAATAGCTAAATTTGTTTCATGTCAGCCACCAAATAGCTATTAGCTTGGACTCCTAGATAAAGCCAGTCTGGAACAAAGCATTTTTGTGTGATACGCCGAAAAAAAATTCTGTCCTTTTTAATGACCCGGTTTTCTGCACTTCATCCAGCTCCACCCTCCAAAAGAGACCAAGAGTTTTAATGCCTTCTGAAGACATACGTATGTCATCTCAAGACTATTTAATAAACTCTTTTGAAGTCTTTAGTCTTAACCTACCTCATGGCATTGTGCCAGAAAGCAACACCATTGAGTCTGAAGAAGAGGCAAATATTCCAGTATAGTTCAGTCCTCAGGAGACGTGTCTGGGAGGTAGTACTCTTACCTCCATGCAAGTACTGAATTTAAAGCATTGTCTGGTGTGAGAGGCCGAGTACCTGTCCAGCCTTGACTGCGCTGGGGTGAAAGCTCTCCTGCTGGTGTTTCCCTTCTGCTTTCAAGACCACATGCACAACCTCCCGTTCCTTCCCTAGCCCCTTTGGCCTGCCAGAGCACCTCTATGAAGGACCTTCCTGCTAGAAATCCTTCAGTAGACAGCAAAGGAAGGCTGAGCAGTGACAAATGCTAGCAAGCAGAGCTAGTTTAACTGGTCAGGCACTCCGCACTGCTGTACCAGACTTCAGTTGTCTGAAAATACCAAATCATTGTAAGCAGTGCAGAGGATTGAGGAAATAGATGTCTGACTCCAGTGTTTCCAGAGTATAGCCCTGGAACTACTTTTGAAGAGCAAATACTAATTTCAGCTGGAAAGCACGAGTCAGCTGGAAAGGAATCTGGTGATGAAGGTAGAAGATTGTTCTGTTTTCCACTTTTTTTTGTAAAAAATAATCTTGTGGCTCTAAGCTCTGAAGAGAATAGCATTGAGCTCAGTTGCACACGTTTTCCGTCGATTGGTTGGTAGAAAAAAATTGACTCTGTGGTGGTATGTGCCTCCTTAAAAGGCGAGTATGTTGTGAGTGTACATAGTTCTATGTATAGCATCACGATGGTTTTTCTAGCAATTTACCTATTCATGAAGTGTAAATAGATGGCTGTTCGCTTCAGCCGGTGCTTTAGGAATCGGTGAGTAAACTCTCTGTTGAATAAAACCCAGGCAGTTTGCAAACAGCCTGAGCTTCCAGCTCCTGGCTAAACTGAAGAATCGTAAGTGTGAAAAGCAATGCGAAAACATTTTTGCCAGTAAAATGTGTGTTGTCCTGGTGGGAAGAAGGGTACTGAGAAATTGCTTCTTGGCAGTTCAGAGAGTGTAGGTGTCCGGTCCCCACACAATTTGCCAGAGATGCCTGCAAAGCTCTCCCTGTTGTGAAACAGATTTTGCTGTTTAGGTACTTGAAAACTCTTAGGTGTTTTATGGTGTAACACCAGATGTTCCACATAACCTGCCACGTGCCTGTTTATCAAAAGGTAGAAAACTAAATCTCGTGCTTTAAATGTATATACTGCATACACCAAAGCGCTAGGAAGTGTTGCCAGGTTCAGGAGGATCGAAGAAAGATGCAGAAGGCAAGATGGAGGCTGGAATGTCAGCATCCGTATGTCATTTTATGTTGCCTTACTGCAGGTGTCTGAAAACAATACCTGAAGTTATAGAAAGCCATAGATTAAAATCATATTCTGTGGAAATGTGACTGTGAGTACGTTTCCACTAAAACCAGTTGAATGTTTTGAGACTAAGAGCTGGTGTCTGTTAAGGAGAAAAATGAATTTGTGGCTAAAGACTTGGAGTCAGGAGGATGAGGCTTGTTCCTGGCTCTGCAGTGCATTTCCCACGTGACTCTGAAAGTCACCAAATCCTTTTGTTGCGGTTTTCTATTCTTAGTGCAGATATAGTAGCCTTTTTAGAGGCATGGTAACATCTTTACAATTAATTAAGCATTAATACCTTATGTCCAAGATCTCTGGTGGAAATTCTGGCGCTATCATCTGAAAACAGTTGCCAAAGTCAACACAGCCTCTGAGGTATCCTGAGGAGTTTACTTAGTTTTAGTTGCTTTGAGAAGCATGTTAAAAACAAAACAAAACCTGGGGGGAGTCATTGGGCATGCACACATTGTTCCCAACATTACAGTGACCTTGGCTGTAAATGAGGTGGGTTTGACATGCTAGCTCAGCTCCTTTTTGATCTGTTTATAAACAACATTTAAGGACCTAAAGATGCTTTTAAATGAGTTTGTTTATGATTCAACTGTGTTGCTCTTTTTCTGTGCTGGATCTGTTTCTTTGGTGATTTAAAGGACTTCATTGTACAGTACAGTTGTCACTGAGGATGGAAAATGTCACTCAGTAGGAGTTGATACCAGTAAAATTACTGTGTTCTTGTAGATTTACTTGAATGCCATCTCCCATTTCTGACCTGTCACTTAACTTGGACCAGTCCCAACCTGTGTAGGTGGGTTACCACCAGCACATACTCATTACAGCTGTCATGTTGGATTTTCTTGGTGGGGCTGTTTCGGAGGGAGGTGTCTCCTGCAGGAGAGAAGCACAAGGAGAGAATTCCTATTTTTGTTTCCTTCTCACCCATTCTTTTCCTCTTCCGTCGTTACTCCCCCTTTCCCTTGGTGTGTGCCCGTCATGCCATACACTGTTGGGGATAAGAATAAGATGATCTTAATCTGGGGGGATGGGGAGGTGTGCTTTGTCTAGACTAGATACTCGTGGAAGTACCAGTCTAAATTCTAGGATTCGGCAGCCTTAATATTTCAGCTTTATGCTCTGTTCCTGTATCCTTATAATCTATTTGACATGAAATACTTACGGGCATAGGAAGCTAAGTTTCCCATCTGCCAAATAAGATTGAACTTGCTATAGCCGTACTTACCTATTTAATAAGAAGAGTTGCATTTCTTCAGGGTCTGTAAAGCATCTAAAGGTCGTTGAACTAAAGACCATATAAATGCAGCTGTTGCCAAGATGAATTAACTTGTGCTGCAGGAACAATGAATCCATTTAGGACTCTGAAACTAAGTTTTTTTTGTTACAAATTTTGAATGACAGAAAATACTGGTATGGGGTGGGGAAACATGTAGAGGTTCACGAGGGAGGCGTGAAGTTTTCTCCCAACTTCATTTCTTAATTTTTTGCCTCTCTGCTTGCAGATTCTCACAAACACAAAGATAAACACAAAGACCGAGAACACCGGCACAAAGAGCACAAGAAGGACAAGGAAAAAGACCGGGAAAAGTCCAAGCACAGTAATAGGTGAGGAAAAAGTTGATGAAGTCCTCATAGGCTAAAACTGTTGCACATGCAGTCTTTCAAGAATTGTTCTCATAATGTATGAGGACGGAATTGCTACCTTTTGAGTGTGGTTGATATGAGTGTAGGTGCTTTAAGCCTAACTTCTGTCATTGCATGTATTTGCATATGGGTAGCTGAAGTAGTTTATCTTGCAAATGTGAGCCAATACTAATGTATAAAAGATTATTGTAGCTCAGTGTTATTAAAGGCATTGAAAACTAGTTTAACCTCACCTTCATGAAGATTGATCAGTTTTGTTCATGATCTTTTTGTGTGTGTGATTCCAATTGTCAGAAATGTGGACCTCTCTTCAGTGCTGGCATAAACCTCGCTATTTTAACATAGGCAAACCTGATGTGACTACTAAGCCTCCTAATAATGAGAAGTGTCTGGGAAGGTAGTCCACCAGAATGGTGGTGATGTCCTTGGCCTGGTACCACAATGGCTGGATATCTCAGCACTGTGAGGTGGTATTATGAACAACTTCTGGGTTAGATGATGAATTTGAAAGGATAGCATGCTGTTTTGTCTGATGCCATTGATACACTATGCTGCCGCTGTACAGGGAAGATGTTTCATGCCAGTCACCTGCTGTATCATCCACACTGAACACAAACACTTATTTACTCTGTGATGACCTCTAGCTCTTGAGGTGGTGATGAATTCCACGGTCCAGTTGATACCCTAGCTTAGAACCTGCAAGAGCCAGGGTGTGCTGGTCTGTCTGTGGTGATTTGGTGGGATGGAGCACAGGGCAAGTATGTCACGCACAGGATGTTACTCAGAAAGGCTTTCCTAGTTGTAACTCCTGACATGCAACTGCCGCGGAGCCTATAGTGACAGTGAAGCTTGTAGAAAACAGTCGCTGCAGGGTAAGTTTCTGTTGTGACACTTGGTAAATGGCAGATAGTGTTTATGCTATGGCCAAGCAAGTGTCATTAATTAATTGCTGTGCAGCTGTGACAACATGATCTAAAGACCAGGGAAAAAAGCTTGGTTAACAATGTTTCCTATTAAAAAAAGAAGCTGGGAAAGGAGAGAGTCTGTGCTGAGCAGTGGGTTTGTTTTATTGGGGTCACACTTTGAGTCTTCTGTGACCTTTGGAGAAGTTACACAACCTTTCTGTTCAATAATATGTTTCTTCTTTTTTTTGAAAGTAAATGGTTGATTGGAGGGGGGTGGGGGAATCTAGGCTAAATAACCTGCAGCATTTACTGGCTTCCACCACAAAGATAAAATGCTTTGGACACACTGTTTGCACTCTTCTTTGCTCACGTATCAATATTGCCTTGATTTCTGATTTTCATTGTTTGGATCTTCAAGCATGCATCCCACAGTGGACTGTCTCACGTTTCCAAATGTTCATTGCTTCACTTGAAAAACCATTTTCCTGCAACCTTGGCAAAGTACATCCTTTTGTAAGGAGTGCTGTAAGCACTGTGTTTAAATTTCCAGAATTCATTAATGATTTGACCTTATTTATGTAGGAGTTGGAAATGTTCAGCATATTTTTAACTGGAAGAACTAATTATTGCTTATAACTTGAAGCTGCAGGCTACTGACTGTGTAAACAGCAAATACCAAAACAATGGAGAGGAGATAAGAATGGCTAATATGTTTTCTGTGGTGTAGCTCATGAGATGGTATGTAATCATGGTTTATCTTGAAGTAATTCCTTCCTCCCTGCAGTGTTGCCTTGAAATCCCTCTGAGAAAGGCATCGTGTTTTCTAGGCACTGTGCCTAAAGCTTCTGGTCACTTCCAGTTGTGTATTAAGCGATCGTTTGTCCTGTGAGCACAATATACTGCGTCTTGGAGTCCCGCGATAGGCTACAGCTATGTGGATGCCATGACTGAGTGCATGCATGAGCAGGGGGTTTGTCCAAGGCATCTTCTGTGGAGAGGTTGCTTAATATTGCCTTGGCCCGCAGGCCCCTACACAAGGTGGGACTGCTCTTCCCCAGGCTCCGTGCGCAGCTTGTGAAAGTTTTCTGTAGTGTGTGTTCTGCCTTTCAAAACTGCCACCCTAAAAATGAGTGTATTAGAGTCCTGAATAGTGAGATCCAGTCTGGAAGGTGGTACTCGGGGAAGACAGTGTGTGCCAGCATGTGGGCGGTGCTCTGGTGGGTCCCTCCTTCAGGAGTGCTCTGAAATCTCTGCTGCCTGTTGCCTGGCTGCTTGCTGTGGAACGTCAGCCAAATTCTAACACGAACTTGTTAGAAATATTTGACCTCGTAATTGAAATTTACACATTTCTTCCGCAAACCCTCCGATTCAGCTGTCATCCACGTAATTACACAAGTGTAAGTTGTGTCTGTGAGGAATAGATTTTAGGTGACCGTTGCCTTGTGAAGGAGATAGCCCAGCAGCTCACAACGTGAGGGTGGAGGAAGTTCTGTGGTGAGCAGGGAATTGCTTAGAGGGGAGTTGCTGGAAGGACCTGAATGGAGCATGTGCTTGTGGCCAGGCAGCTACCAAGTGTTCACGGGGCAGGTATGAACCCAAGGGTGGCAGAGGCTAGACCAAGTTATGGGACAAGACGGGGAAGGACTGAAGCAAGCCAGGTTTCTGTTCAGGCTCCATTACTACAGTCACTGCACTAAAATACTTTCCTGGACAAAGCCAAGATGAACAGAGAAGTCTGAATTTTAGAATAGCTTATGTGACTGTCCAGTGTCCATCGCTGTCATACTGCTAAGCTGGTGGGTTGCACTGGGGAGGGGGCATTTGATCAATTTGCCATTTGTAATAGTTTTTAATTTTGCCAGTAGTGGGAGGGGAGGAGATTGCTTTGTGGGCAAGCACTGGAGAATTGTCCTCTTTCAGAAGGGCTCTTAGCTGTGATGTAAGAAGGCCGAAAGCAAAATTGTTCTTGGAGGAAGAAGAGTGAGGGCTCTGTGATTGCCTGCGCTTCATTAGTTTTGAAAATCTTTGCTTAGCCTCTGTAATAGAGCTGTTCAAAGGGCTGGTTCTAGGTCCAGTTTATTTCAATACTTGGTTGTAATTGCCATCACTGCTGAAAAAGATTCCTCACGCTGAAATGTAGCTGCAAATGGAAGTGCATCGTCGGCTGTGCTTACTAAACAGTGATACTCATTTTTCAACCCATCTGCGGCTTAGACAAAGAGTTTTCTTGCCGCTGAGCTGGTAGATGTCTGTCTTCCCTGGTGTCAGCCAGTTGTGCTTGCAAGCTCACTGAAAGGTGTTGCATTTGTCGCAAATGGGTTCAAAACCCATGGAAACTCTTGGCCTGGAAGATTTTCAGACAGGCTAGAAAATTATGTTTCCAAATTTTTCAAGTGTGCAGCTAGGAGAATTTTTCTCAGTGATTAACTTATATTGGTTTTCTTTTGAAAAGCATTTTCTTTCTTGCCCGTTGTTGAAATCGCACCTTCACCTTGAATGGGCACCTTAAGTGTGTTTGTTTTTCTTGGATAATGTCTGCTAGGTAGTGTACTACTGACAGCAACTGGCCAGCACCAAGTTTGCAACACTTGTCTTTTTGTATAACAAGATTCCTTTTAAAAGTCCGACAGCTTTTAAGCCCTTTGCAGCGAGAGAAGTGGTGAACCTCTGTGTGGTAGAAGGGATTTTCATGGTTGCTCTTCATCTTATTACAACTTGTAAAGACACTACTGGGTCAAAGGTCTTGTTTTCATAAACAAAGGTGCCGAAGTACCCCTTCCAAAACCCAGCACCACAGCAGTGCCACCGTGTTGCTGTCCCTCCACTGTGACCCTTCAGCACCTCCCATCTGCAGCAAAGATGTTGGCTGAACCCAACTGCGGGGGCCCACGGCAGCCTCTACCCTGCTGAGAATGGTGACAGCCATTTTGATGGGGGATATTTCTTCACAGAAGTGTTTTGAGGGCAAAAAATCTGCCTGTTTGTACTGAAGTTTCTACTTTGACAATGAACAACAAGTGAAAAGTAGCCTTTACTCCATTAGAAATTTACCAAAAAATGTACAAGAACATGGATTTTCCAATGGTTTTTACCTGTATGGGGAATTTCTAAAGCACTTGATAAAAGCCTGCCACCTGTTGCTAAAATTGAAACTGAATCTTTAAGATAAGTTTATCGTAGCTTAATAGAATTGCATGTAAATACTCAAAAAATCCATTCTGTATTTCAGAAAAGCTGCAGTGTTATTGCAGATGATGTGCTGTATCTTTGATAAGTCTCAAAGAGGTTGAACGGTGCTTGAGCAGAAATGCAAGCCGTTGTTGGTGGTGAAACTTGGGTTTGTACTTCCGTGGCATTTCGTACAGAGTGCATGGCGAGTCCCCTGATTGCATTCTGAGAAGCACAGTACTGCATTGGATGTTGTACATGGTTAAGAGCATTGTCTGGTTGTGTTTGAAGCAGATCGTTTTTATGTCTGTCTGTAATAGTTTGACAATTTCATTTCCTGCCCGGTACTTAAATAAGGCTGTTAAAATAAAACCTGCACCAAGAATTCCAATGCAGGAGAAAAATGTTTTCTGTATCCAGACTTTGAAGGATCTAAACTGCCAAGATAAGTCTCAGAAATACGTAAAGTAGATAATTTTTGGCTTCATATGGCAGAAGTGTGTGGAGTGGTATGTTGAACTTCTTAATTTTGCTTCTTGCTTTCCTCCTCTCCTATTCGCAAGATGACACTTCTGTATCTGAACCACTCATTTACAGCTGTAGTAAACTGGGAGAGAACATTTGTATGCCTCAGATCTTCTCCATCACCCCTCAAGGAAAGAAAATGCAAAGCCCACTTAAGAAAAAAGCATATCAAAGAATAAATCCACATTGCTATCAAGCTATCTCTATCAGGCGAAGTGTTTTCTTGTGCTCCTTTTCTCAGCCCTGTACTTCCCAATCCTCAAAAGAAAATCTAATACACACCCATTAAATATAAATGTCGGTGGTTAAAAAAATAAAATGAAACTAATCTGATGTGGCAATAGGATTCTGATCTGTGGGAGA